TTGGCTTTTCCCCATTGACCTTGCTTGTCAGAAGGTCATAAAAGGAGATTGCGTGACTCTGGGACACTGTGGCTGTCATAAGTGTGAGTCAATTGCCAAGGGACCCTGGGGAGGCTGCAACAGTCATTAAGTGTGAAAAACGGTCATAAGCCACTTTTTTTCAGTGCCGTTGCAACTTTGAACGGTCACTAAACAAACTGTGGGTTACTTGTAAAGGGAACCCGGAAGTCCTCAAGTTGCTGCGTGGGACAGGACAAGGTCTGTGCATATTGGGTTGTCCCTTCAGGCTCAGTTAAGGAAGGACATTCTCCCATTATATTGCTCTTTTTAAAATTGCATTCAGTCATGCAATTCTTGGAGACGCTCTGAATAAGTCCCTGCAGCTGTCTTGGCAAGGTTTTTCAAGTAGTTTGCCATTGTCTCCTTCCTGGAGCTGAGACAAAGTCCACACACACCTAAGGCAGGACTAGAACTCATGACTGGCCCAGCTGACTTTCATGCCTAAGGCGGGACTAGAACTCACAGTCTTTGTGTGATTGGCCCAAAGTCACCCAGCCGGTTTTCATGCCTAAGGCGGGACTAAAACTCAGACTCTCCTTGTGATTGGCCCAAAGCCACCCAGCCGGCTTTCATGCCTAAGGCGGGATTAAAACTCAGACTCTCCTTGTGATTGGCCCAAAATCACCCAGTGGCTTTCATGCCTAAGGCGGGACTAGAACTCACAGTCTCCTCGTGATTGGCCCAAAGTCACCCAGTCAGTTTTCATGCCTAAGGCGGGACTAGAACTCACAGTCTCCTCGTGATTGGCCCAAAGTCACCCAGCCAGTTTTCATGCCTAAGGCGGAACTAGAACTCACAGTCTCCTCGTGATTGGCCCAAAGTCACCCAGCCGGCTTTCATGCCTAAGGCAGAACTAGAACTCACAGTCTTCTCGTGATTGGCCCAAAGTCACCCAGCTGGCTTTTATACCTAGGGCGCGACTAGAACTCACAGTCTCCTGTTCCAAAGGTGCTTTTTCAAGAGGCAATTGGATTTCCTTTGTTTTTCCTTGAAGCTGTTTCACTTCTCATCCAATATGACATTGTCCTTTCAGCAGTTCCAGAAAGATTCCACGTCCATTTGCACTATTCAGATGACCCTGAGAGCACAGATATACCTCCAAGTGGCCTCAATGGTCCTCAGAAAGAGTGCTAATAACCAGAAGACTGCAAAGAATATAAACTGTTCCATCCTCCCCCTCCTTCAGTCAGAACTGAAGGAGCTTCTTGGATGAGAAGCGAAACGTCTTCAAGAAAAAAACAAAGTCCAGTTGCCTCTTGAAAAAAGCATCTTTGGGAGAAGCATGACCTGGATGACGGAGAAGCTCCATAGACAGTCTGAATCTCCTGCTTTCTAGTTTGATGCCTTAACCATGACACCAAACTGGCTTTCATTGCACCCTTTTGTGGGAAGAATCCAGAGAAAGAAATCTTTTGGGGAATATTAAAGAGGCAGAATATAGTTCCCCAAAGGAGTAATGGAAAAGATCTTAAAAAAAAAAAAAAGACAGAAACCAGCCCCCAGAAATCAGCCCAGCCCCTAGGTCACAGGTCAGCAACCTGCGGCTCTGGAGCCGCATGCGGCTCTTTGAGCCTTCCCCTGTGGCTCCCAGCCTCCTCTGCCGTTGCAGAGAGAGACAGAGACAGAGAGGCAATTGCGCTTCCCCTGCTTCTCTCTCTCTCTCTCTCATCTCTCTCTTCGCATCTCTCTCTCTCTCTCTCTCTCTCTCTCTCTCTCTCTCTCTCTCTCTCTGTGTGTGTGTGTGTATGTGTAAAACAGAGTGCACTCACAGTGTTCTCCGAGGAGCTGAAAAGCTTACTGGGCGGAGCTCCTCCCTTTGCTGCGTCTCTGCAGGAAGCAGGAAGGGCAGGAGAGAGCTAGCTAGCCCAGCTATGCTGACTCAGGAATTCTGGGAGTTGAAGTCCATGAGTCATAAAAGAAACGAGGTTGCTTACCCGTGAGCTTGTGGGACAACAGCTTGAAGCTTGCCAGGTGAGCAGCAGATAGGACAGGGGGGGAGAGAGAGAAAGAGAGAGAGAGAGGGAGGGGGAGAGAGAGAGAGAGAGAGAGAGAGGAAAGAGAGAGAGAGAGAAAGAGAGTGGGGGAAGAGGAGTGGCAGACCAAGGGTAGATAGAGAGGGAGGGAGGGAGGGAGGGAGGGAGAGAGACACAGAGAGAGAGACCCTTTTGACATCTAAAATGAAAATAACACTGCATATATCCTTTTTTTACCTGTGTGTGTATGTAATTTTATTCTCTTAAAGCATTCTCTTGGTGATCATTGTTTTAATAGTATGGATATTCCCAAGAATGATATTTTTACTTTTATTTTTAATGTGTGTGTGTGTGTGTGTGTATACATATATATATATATACACACACACCCCTATAATAAAGGTAAAAAAGGATATATGCAGTGTTATCTTCATTTTAGATATCAAAAGGGTTTTGCGGCTCCCCGTGTTTTGTTTTTGGTGGGAAACGGGTCCAAGTGGCTCTTTGAGTGTTTTGGGTTGCCTACCCCTGCCCTAGGTAGAAGCCAGCTTTTAGAAATGCAAATTCAATAATCCTTTCAGAAAGATTGGAGCTTTCCAGCTAGAAACTGAAGAAATTAGGAAGACAACGACACCTAAAATCTACATACCCCCACCCAAATTCTAAAGACAGGAGACATAATAGGATTAACCCACCAATGCCAAAAGGTCCAAGTACATGATACAGGAAATACAAAGCCTCAAACAGGAACAGGAAACAACCTCAAGAGCCCCAGAGGGTATAAAAACCCACTCCCTACATGTGCTCTGACTCTTTTCTTCCAGAGCCATCTTTCTGTCTGGCGCTCCTCTTCAACAAACTGCACCCTTCTTTCTAAAGCAGTCTCCATGTCATTTATTCCAGGCTTGGACTAGACCCTGGTGAAGATTTTTCTTTCAACACTTTCAAAGCCACTAATGACACCAACTGTCCTTTCAAGTCAAGCTACAGGGGAAAAAAAAAGATTTCCACACATTCGGAGGCTCCAGATAAATCTTCAGATAAATTCACCCCCACGAGATGAAACGCTGACTTTGCTAGAGAAGAAGTCAAACATCCAGCTGCTTTTTCCATGTTCCTGCTCTTTTACACACCTTTATCAGGGAAAAAGTAGAATAATAACTTTTAATGTAGAATGTCGTAAATGTTTTGAGTCTTACCCAGTATTGCTGAGGGCCAGAAACAGAGGGCATTTTTAATACAAAGCACCTGGAAAGTAACAAAGTATGAATCCTCATATCTTTTATGCCCAGCAAACTTTAGGAAAAAATATAATTGGAGACAAGATTGTTAAACAGTCCTTTCCTTGGAACAGAATTTAAAATTATTAACATATTAAATCAAAGGGGTCTGAATCGGGTAAATTGCATAAAATCAACCAGTTCTATTAAGACCTGGAGGGTAGCCATGATAATTATAAATACTTTAAACTTCAATAGATATTGGGCCCATTATTCTAAAAATCCATCTCCATGATTCATGAGGACTACAGCCTTGCCAAGTCAAAATAAATCAGACTGTTTACTGTCCGTGCCATTACTCCTCAGCCATTTGGGGTTACAACCCGCTGGAGAACGCCAGTAAGGAGTTCTGGAGAAACATCAAGCAACAACTTTTCAAGAACGTAAATATACAGTAGGTAAAATAAGCCTGTAGGGTATAAATGATGTTAAATCTGTGCCACGTTGGGATAACAAAACCTTTCTCCAACAGGCAACAGGATAAACAATTTCACACACACACACACACACACACACACACACACACACACACACACACACACCCTCAAACAAATATCAAGGCCAAAAGAAAGAAAATTAATTTGATTAGCCCCCCCCTCCGAGTCAGCAAGATGGGAGATTTGCTCCTGACTCACCAAAACTCACATTTCTTTTTAAAGCGGAGAGCCATAAAACTATTTTTAATAACACATCTGGGATTTGCAACTCAAGTTTGTGACATTCACAGAGGAAGCGGCCTAATTTCTGTCTGGTGTTCGGTCCAGCCTTTTTCTACCTAGGCCAGCTGAGGCTTCTGGGAGCCCCAGGCTCAAACTCTCTGGAGGGCCCCAGGGTGGAAAAACATGCAGGAGCCGACGGAGCAGATGCCAATAAGTCCTTCGGGTCCCAGTTTTGCCCCATCTTCTATATAATGAACCTCCTTGACATCATTCAGGGCTTTACGGAAAAGGCAATATATTTCAGCATGTTGGTTGGGCTGCAACATTTTATAGCAGTTGTGGATCCAATTAGCTTCCTTCCTTCCTTCCTTCCTTCCTCCCTCCCTCCCTCCCTTCCTTCCTTCCTTCCTTCCTTCTTCACTCTCTCCCTCCCTCCTTCTCTCCCTCTTTTCTTCCTTCCTCCCTTCCTCCCTCCCTCTTTCCTTCCTTCCTTCTTTCATCCTTCCTTCCTTTCATCCTTCCTTCCTTCCTTTCTTGCTTCCTTTCCTCCCTCCCTCCCTCCTACCCTTCCTTCCTTCTTCACTCCTTCCATCCTTCCTTCCTTCCTTCATCCTTCCTTCCTTTCCTTCCTTCCTTTCCTTCCTTCCTTCTTTTCCTTCCTTCCTTCCTTCCTTCCTTCCTTCCTTCTTCACTCCCTCCCTCCCTCCCTCTTTCCTTCCTTCCTTCCTTTCCTCCCTCCCTCCCTCCCTCTTTCCTTCTTTCCTTTCCTTCCTCCCTCCCTTCTTCCCTCCCTCCTTCCTTCCTTGCTTCCTTTCCTCCCTCCCTCCCTTCCTTCTTCACTCCTTCCTTCCTTCCTTCATCCTTCCTTCCTTCCTTCCTTCCTTCCTTCCTTCCTTCCTTCCTTCCTTCCTTCCTTCCTTCCTTCCTTCCTTCCTTCCTTCCTTCCTTCCTTCCTTCCTTCCTTCCCTTTTCCCCTTGCCTACTTTTTGAAGCTAGACACTGAACAGAAGAAAAGACTGTCTACTTACCATTCAAGGCACCGTGAAATGAACAAACGCTGAAATCAAGGAGGAATAAAGCACCCTTAAATCTGAAACATCGGATTCCCAGCTCTCCGAACGGGAGCGAAAGCAGACAGCCAGGCATGCAATGGAGAGACCTGTTCCGTTTCCTTTTCTCCTCTTTAAGTGTAGCCCTGAGAGCAAAGTTAGGTGCTGGGTAGGGCACAGTCGCTGGGAACCAAATAATGCAAAAATAAATCAGACTCCAACTTCTCGTCTTTCTTCAGTTTTGTCAAATGCCTCTGCAAAAAGCCTTGGCCGAGCGCCCTGATTCGGCTGGAAAATTTATGAAGTGATAGAAAAGCTGCTGAATATTTAAGCCCGGCCATGTGCTTGCAATGATGGGTTTTTATCTGCAAATGTGTGCTCCTTTGCTTTTAAGCAGATCTACCCTCACTCGGTGAAAGATAAGAAAAAGGGCAAATAAACTTTAATTTAGAAGCAAAAGACAAAATGCACGAAAAGACTAGCCAACTCTGAAAAATACCCCAAGTTTCTAGCTATTCATCCTGTATGCCAAGAGAAGAATGACTTCATGGATCTGCTGGGAGAATGCTCTGTGACTTTTCTAGACTCTTGTTCTATAATAATAATATTAATAATAATAATAAAAAGTTGGAAGGGACCTTGGAGGTCATCTAGTCCAACCCGCGGCTCAGGCAGGAATCCCTATGCCATTTCAAACAAATGGCTGTCCAGTTTCTTCTTAAAGACTTCCAGTGTTGGACCATTCACCATTTCTGGAGGCAGGTTGTTCCACTGGTTAATTGTTCTCATGGTCAGGAAGTTTCTCCTTAGTTCTAGGTTGCTTCTCTCCTTGATTAGTTTCCATCTGTTGCTTCTTGTCCTGCCTTCAGGTGCTTTGGAGAATAGCTTTATATTAAAAACTTTTTAATAATAAAAAAAAGAGAGAATAGCTTGACTGCCTCTTCTTTGTGGCAGCCCCTGAGATATTGGAATACTGCTATCATGTCGCCCGCCCGTCTTTCTTTTCATTAAACTAGACATACCCAATTCCAGCAAGCATTCCTTGTAAGTTTTAGCCTCCAGTCTCCTAATCATCTTTGTTGCTCTTCTCTGCACTCTTTCTAGAGCGGTGTTTCTCAACCTTGGCAATTTTAAGGCATTTGGACTTCAACTCCCAGAATTCCACAGCCAGCAATGCTGGCTGTGGAATTCTGGGAGTTGAAGTCCACATGCCTTAAAATTGTCAAGGTTGAGAAACACTGTTCTAGAGTCTCAACAGGCTGAGGAATTCTGGGAGTTGAAGTCCACAAGTCATAAAAGGGCCAAGTTTGAAGACCCCTGCCTTACACTATCCCAGTCAAGTATTTGTCCAGTTTTTTTCTAAAAAATCTCATGATGGAGCATGCCCAACTCCAAAAGGCAAGCTATTCCATTGAGTAATTGCTCTCACTGTCAGAAAATTTCTCCTTACTGCTACATTGGATCTCCACCCATTACTCCTTGTCTTGCCCTCTGGTATTCTATAGAATAAGTCAACCCTCTATGACATCTCTTCAAGGCCTGGAAGACAGATACCACATCCACTAATCCTTCTCTTTGACAAGCCAGACATAGTTAGCTCCATCGATCAATCATCCTACGATTTAGCCTCCAGACTCTTTATCATCTTTACTGCTCTTCCCTGCACACTTTCTGGAGTCTTCACATGTTTTTTTTTTGTGTGTGTCTCATGGTTAGGCTAACCATGGCTAAATATGCCACAAGGAAACCAAGAACTTCTGGATGGAACTTCTGGACACTGCAACTTTCTGCTTAATGACTAATGGAGGTAGTGACAGATTTTATTTTTCTGGGCTCAGAGATCACCTCAGATAGGGACTGCAGCCAAGAAATTAAAAGACGCTTGTTCCTGGGGAGGAAAGCTATGGCAAATCTAGACAGCGTTCTAAAAAGCAGAGACATCACCCTGCCAACAAAAGTTCGTATAGTCCATGCCATGGTTTTCCCAGTTGCAATGTATGGCTGTGAAAGTTGGACCATAAGAAAGGCTGAGTGCAAAAGAATTGAGGCCTTTGAACTATGGTGCTGGAGAAGACTCCTGTGAGTCCCTTGGACTGCAAGGCGTTCAAACCGGTCAGTCCTAGAAGAGATCAACCCCGACTGCTCTTTAGAAGGCCAGATCCTGAAGTTGAAACTCAAGTACTCTGGCCGCCTAATGAGAAGGAAGGACTCACTGGAGAAGAGCCTAATGCTGGGAAAGATTGAGGGCAATAGAAGAAGGGAACGACAGAGAATGAGATGGCTGGATGGAGTCACTGAAGCAGTAGGTGTGAATTTAAATGGACTCCAGAAGATGGTAGAGGACAGGAAGACCTGGAGGAACGTTGTCCATGGGGCCGCGATGGGTCGGACACGACTTCGCAATTAACAACAACAACAAAGCAATCGGAATTGGTTCTAAATTCAAGGGGACTAGCTTGATCAAACAAAGCCAACCTTTGTTTGAAACCGTGTTTAGGATTTTGCGGCAGTCTTCGGCAGCAACAGCAGGAACCCACTGCGTATGTGTCTGTGTGCACGCATTTGTCAAAGTCTCCGTTATCAGGATGGGAAAGGAGAGACTGAGAAAATGCGTCCTCTTCTTGAGAATGTGAGATGGTTCCCATCGCTGGATCGTTCTCATTAACATGGATCAAAGTAACATGGCCACACTTAGAATCCTGCATCCAGTTTTGGTCACCACAATGTAAAAAAGATGTTGAGACTCTAGAAGGAGTGCAGAGAAGAGCAACAAAGATGATCAGGGGACTGGAGGCTAAAACGTACAAGGAACGGTTGCAGGAATTGCATTATGTCTAGTTTAATGAAGAGAAGGACGAGGGGGGACATGATAGCAGTGTTCCAATATCTCAGGGGCTGCCACAAAGAAGAGGCAGTCAAGCTATTCTCCAAAGTGTCTGAAGGCAGGACAAGAAGCAACAGATGGAAACTGATCAAGGAGGGAAGCAACCTAGAACTAAGGAGAAACTTCCTGACAGTTAGAACAATTAACCAGTGAAACAACCTGCCTCCAGAAATGGTGAATGGTCCAACACTGGAAGTCTTTAAGAAGAGACTGGACAGCCATTTGTCCAGAATGGTATAGGGTTTCTTGCCTGAGCAGAGGGTTGGACTAGATGACCACCAAGGTCCCTTCCAACTTTATTATTATTATTATAAAGACTGTCACTCAATCACTGTGGCCTGACAACCATTGTGTATAACTTAACATTACGTGGAACTAGTCAACAAAACATGATTAACCCACACTTACGTGATACATGGATGTGTCAGAGCACGCACAGTCTTATTGCACTGAGGTAACCCAGGAGTAAATACCATAAACAGTGGTTTGTAATTAAATGGTGGTTTATATTACACTACACCTACAAATATACACTAGAAATAAGATGCATACACGTGGTGAAACAGCAAATTCTAATATACAGCAGTTACAGCAGCCAAACGCATGAGAGAGAAAGACTCCAGCAAAAAAACTTCCCTTTTATACTCAGGCTCTTAAAGGGATACACACACCTGCTGAGTCATTCCTATACTGCATCATCCACATTACCTTACATCTTTACACAAGCTATTTAGCTTTTAAATCATTAAACCTTGACAGGATGCAACCTCGGTCTTGTATTCATTTAAATACTGAGTTGCAGCCATATACTTTGTGCTAAGGATGTGTTTATTGCCAGATGCATGAGTATCTGGTCTCATGAGTCACAGGAGAGGACAATCTTGGACAAGGGTGTCCAAACCTGGCAACTTTAAGACTTGTAGATGTCATGGTTCCGACAGATGAAATTTTTCAAAGAAGTTCGAGGCATTGTTTACCTTAAAGAATCTTTATTCAAGTTGCATGGCAGATGAAACTCTTCAAAGAACTTCAAGGCATTGTTTACCTTAAAGAATCTTTATTCAAGTTGCATGGCATCCACACGTAGGAAGCCGAAATCTCAATTCCCCTCCCCTGAGCACCTAATATCAAAGCACAATTCCCTCCTTCAATTAGCAATCATAAATCACATTCTCCAATTAGTTTGAATTGCAGGCTTTCCCTCCTGATCTCTAACCCCGCCAATTCTTATCATCTCTTATTTCAAGCTCTGAATTCACACAGGAGTACAATATTGTTATGTCTAACTAACTCCCACCACATTCCTCCACCTCCCACAGCACCATCTAATTCAGCGTTTCTCAACATTTGTGTGACGGTGACCCCCGCCACACAAACGCGCCGCGCATGCATGGCACCCCATGCGCGGCGCACATGCGCGGCGGCGCACATGCGCGGCGGCGCCCACATATGCAGTGCACATGCGCGGTGGCGCCCCATGCGCGGTGCGCATGCGCAGCGCTGCCCCCTGAGGGGGGGAAATGGTGGATCAAGTTGTTTGGCGACCCCCGTAAAATGGTCGTTCGACCCCAAATGGGGTCGCGACCCATAGGTTGAGAACCGCTGATCTAATTCTAAGAGTAAAGCATAAGAAAGAAAAAGGCTGCATCTCCATGTGTTGTCAAAGCAAGAACATCCAAGGTGAGCAGCGTTAATAGTAGACTTCAATGCCCAGATTTCCTCAGGCCAGCATGCCTGGCTGAGGAACTCTGGGAGTTGAAGTCCACATGTTTTCAAGTTGCCACGTTTGAAGACCCTTGGTCTTGGCTGAGCTCAAAAAGTGTTCAGGAAGGCCAAACCTGGTTACTCCATGGTTGGGAGACCACCAGGAACAACAGGTTGGGAAGTTGAACAAGGTATTGCAGAAGAAGGCCGTGAGATTCTGTATTGTAGCTAAGGAATGTACCTGGGGCTTGAGCCTCCAGATGTGGATAGTAGCGAGCGAGAGAATTCCCATGCATGGAGAAATGAACTGGCCCCAGTAGCAGGGACCAAACAAGGGCAGATTGAGTTGCTCCAGACGCAGAGACATTTGATAAATACATCTGCCCTGGTTCAGTACACTACACAGCTTCTTCTCTTCAGTACTTGAGATTGCTTGCAAAAGGTTGACATCAATTAAGAGGAAGAAGAACTTGTGGGCTTTGAGGAGCAGTTTGACCCAAGACTCCCTGTTGAAGCATTGCTACTTCCAGACACCAGACAACGGTCTGACTGTTTGCCAAAATTTTAAGAAGTATTAGTACCGCTTTATAAAACC